GTTACAGTCTCCACTAGTTCTGGACTTAGCCTGAACACTCACAGCAGTGTTTCATTAGGGTTGCATTTGAGATTGGTGCATACTACCCCTCAGCCCCACCCTGTAAGTACTCACAGTGGCAAACTCGACATGTGTGCTCCTTTGTGAGATGATGGGACTGTTAAAACCACCCTTCTTACAGGAATCCACTTTTTGGGTGGGGGAGTCTAGGCCACATTCCATTGCAAATTTATTCAAAGCTTCACCTTCCAGTATTGGTTTTCCTTTCTTTAATTGTGTTGGGAATAATTTTTGACTGACTTTAGCCTTGAAATGGGGTTCCCCAAGTCACAGTTTCCCTAAAAAGGCCATTTTTAAGAGTGTTTGTCCTTAGGTCTGACTGTGAACATTAGTGGGATGCAGGAGTGTTCGTGTCCCAGCTTTACCCACTGAGCTTGCTTTCATGTGAGCCATTGTCTGCTCTCTGCTCCCTGAAACTCCTGCACGTGTGTGTGTTCAGTTTCCCCCTTACATGGGGCCTGGACTTAGCCTGAGTGTGGAGCCGTGTTGACAGGGAGGGAATGCTGCAGACAGTGTGGCAGTGATGCTTTAAAATGAGTGTTACCAGGGCAGAGGGGAGCATTGCTGACAGGTGAGATAAATGCAAACCCAGAACTCAGCCCCCTTTTCTTGATTGTGTCACAGTGATTGCTGCCTGGCATATTAGTAAGTTAGAATTGACTCTTCTGTGACCATTTTTCTTCCTAGGACAACAAGTGCACATTAATTTGAATTGCTATAATAGGCCGTCTGTACAACCACAGTCCTGCAGACTTAGGATGTCAAGGTGGTAACTTCAGTATGTTTACTATTGCTCTTACTTGAAAATTCTCTCCACAAAAAAGCACAAATTACAGCTGTAAATCCATAACCATAGATAGTTCACCTGACAAAAACATACTAAGTTCTGACACAGCTGAAGACGCACTTCTCAGCTTCTTAGGTAGCTTGAGTGAGTGTTTATGAAAGTGGAAGATCAAGTCCTTTCAAAAGTGTCTGAGTATTTTTTTTAATGCAGTCTTTTTATTTTTCTATTTGGTTTTGTTTTAATCATAGAAAACAAAAATTATTCTTGAAATTAGTATTTTCTTTTGATGTAATAATGGAAGCCAGAGAAGTCACAATTCTTAAAATAGCATAAACTTTACTGGACTTTATTGACTTTACTGGAACAATGTTTGATATACATATTTAGGATGCATTTATGTAATTTCTTGAATGGCATTAATAAATAATCTCTTAAGGCAGGCACGTACCGTTGTGGTTGTTTTCTCCTTTAGAGAAAGTAATATACAGCCTGAAAAAGGGAGGAGCTTGTTCTTTTTGTACAACATGGATTAATTTGTGGACTTCAGTGAAAAAAAAAAAAAAGTCAGCTACAAAAAGAGAAGCAGTAAGTGGTCCAGTTCCTAGAGACAGAAAGAGAGTGGTTGTCAGGGACTGGGAGAGGACAGAGCTGTTAGGTGGGCGTGTTCTGTTTTTCACGAATGAATGATAATTTTTGACTATATTTGATGTTACTGAACTGTATATTCTTTTTTCTCATATACATTATTTGAGTCACACAGCTGTATGAATTAAGCACAGATTATTTTTACAGTTAGCAAAGCTTCATAGACAAAGAAGGTGATCTTAAAAGGTTAGAAACAGTAAATTTTATTACATATATCACAATTTTAAAACTTAGCAACATTAGAATAAAAATAAGATACCACTGTGTGCTACAAACTGCAAGATCACCCAGTTGTCCCACAGCCACCATTCCATGAGATCACCCACCAAAGCCAGGGGCCCTGCATGAAGGAGTTCAAACCAACGTGAAGGTCATATGTGGCGTTATAGTCTTGTAAGTAAAAGTGGCTGTGTCTTGCTGTAGATCCTTCTGGTAACTTTCTCCTTTTTGTAGCAAACTTGGGATTTACTTCCCACAGCTCAGCACTATATGGTCATTTACTGGGAAAAGTTTCTCCTGTGCATTTGGAGTTTCCTAGCTATGTGTAAGACCTGTTCTCCATTACCAGGTGCTAGTTTACTGATTACACTAGCTGTAGGTGAGAACTGTTTCCCACTACCAGGTCCTTGTTCCCCAGTCCTGTGTAATGGCAGAGATCTGCCTTCCTGCACTTGTCCTTACTGACATGCATTTGGTCAATATTTAGGGCCCAGGAAAAGCATTCCACCTAAGACATTTCCAGGTATCCAGGGACATAGAATTACTACATGCCTAAAACTGGTGATTCATAGCCACTTAGATAAGAAAACAAGCATGCCCTGGTTTTACTTCACTGGTAGATAGAAAAGCAATAAACTAAACTAACCCAGCTCTAAAAGATTCTCAAACTTCCGCATTCACCTTCATCCTGGTTTATTAAATCAAGATCTTAGCTTAGATTTACTGCTTGTGTTTCCCCTGAGGAGATAATAGCCTACTTTCTCATCCTCAGGAAAATGTACTTTCCTGGAGACCGTGCCACTACAGAGCACTGGAAGGTGCTAAGTTCTCTTTCTTGTACAAATTAAACTTAGACCCTCTCCTTGACTTACAGTCCTAAGCAAATGATGCTAAAAGCTTCTCTTAGCAGGAAGTCATAGCAAAAGTACCACAGCAGACCAAAAGCTGCTTGCTTGCTTTCTCTGTTATTTACATAGGTTGCCTGGTTACTCGATACTCTCTGTGCATGCTAGGAGAAAAGCAGCCAATGAATATAAAGACCATCTTTGCCATACTCGTGATTTTACTAAATATACACTTTTTAGCTCTTTATCTACTTAAAAGTATATCATAGCACACTGGTGTCCCTTTCTAGAATTCCCTAATGATTTACTCTCTCTTAACTAACCTTCTCCTTTAAGGCCTTCACAGGACATTCACAAAGCCACTCCCACCTTTGAGCTGACAGCTATGACTTGTCTATGTGTATGTAAATTCTTATCTGTCTTTTATGGTGCAAAAGAATTCCAGTCCTGGACCCCACTAGGGAGCTGGGAAATTGCTCCTTGCAAAGGTATATAAACTGGAAACATTGGTTACTGAGATACAAAAGAAAAAAGATACAGAAGAATAAAGAAACATGCAGAGATGCAATTGTGTGTGTTGATTTTTTTACCTCAGACCCCCATAATTATTTTTACCAGGAATTTTGCCAGGAATCCCAAAAGAGTACTAGTACCTCAAAAAGATCCTGAAAATTGAATGTGTCAACTGCTTCTCAACTATCTCAACCCAATATTTCTGTTAAAAGGATATAGTTGAATTATCAGAGTGGGAAAAGCATTTGAATTGGTAGGAATTAAAAATGAAAAGTAGCAGCCACTGTCCTTGTGATACATATCAGTTATTAGGGCAAAATACAGATTAGGTTAATAACCAGTGATATAATGGGATATTTATAGTTTTCAAACAGTTTTGTATATGGGCTGGGTGTCGGGTGTGCAGTACATATCATGGCACTCTTGTGGAGGTCAGAGGGCAAATTGTAGAAGTCAGTTCTGCTGTGTGGGTCCCTGGTGTTAAACTCAGGTCATCAAGCTTGGTGGCAAGTGCTAAGCCATCTCACCATCTTTTTTTGTTTGTTTTCTTTTTTTAAAGAATGGAACCAAGTGGAGTTGACCCATTTGTTCTGAAGATGGTTTGTGTAGAATAGGGGGAGGGAACATAAACTTATTTTTGCTCATCTGTAAAACAAGATAACCATGGGCGTTGATGAGTCTTCCCCTAGGTCTACAAAATACATCACTTCCCACAGTGCCATCTACTGTACCCTGGGCTTCTATACATTCTCTTATATGGAAAGATGGATGTAATTATTTGGCTCGTTTTTCAGTAATAACAGAGCAGGCTTATTTTATCAGTTTGCCCAATATGTTCCAGCATTATGAACCCAAGCAAGTGGTGCTCCCTTTTGCCATGAAATTACTGTGATTGAAAAAGTTGAATGAAAGGCAGGAGAGGAAGCTTTAACATGATGCCCCACTGATTCTGATGATCGCAGCCATTCCAGTTTACCCTTCATGAAGTGACATTGGTAGCCACAGTAGTGCACCAGGAATGATTCCTTAACAAGTATACTTTGAGCATTCACTCCAAACTGGAAACCATGCTGGAGACACGGCTCAGTCCTGTTTTGAGGGTCGTGGTAGGAATTAGAAATGTGACTGTGAAGGAGTGAAGCGGCAAGAGTGATGTGGGCATGCAGATCTGAACTGCATATTGTTAGGTGGAAAAAGAAGTCTTCGTTTTTCCCCATTCCACATTCCTAATGATGTTCTTATTCAAAGCGCTAAGTTCCTAATGTTGGTGTTGCCTTGAAGATGACACATGCTCTTGCCTTGTAATTATAACTGTGGCCACAAAGACACTTTTTTCTCATCATCTAATTTTTTTTTTTTTAGTTTTGATAATATTTTTCAATTTAAATTTAAAACAAACTTGTTTTACATGTCAATCCCAGTTCTCTCATCCTCCCCACCCCCCATCCCTATCCCATCCCCTTTCTTCTCCCTGGGGTGTGGGGTGAGGCCTTCCATGGGGAGTCCTCAAAGTCTGTCATATCATGTGGAGCAGGGCCCAGGCCCTCCCCCATGTGTCTAGGCTAAGAGAGTGTCCCTCTAGGTGGAATGGGCTCCCACAGTCCATTCGTATACTAGGGACAAATACTGACCTACTATCAGAGGCCCCATAGACTGCCCAGTCCTCCTAACTAACATCACATTCAGGGGTTCTGGGTTGGTCCTATGCTGGTTTCCCAGCTATCATATGGGGGTTCATGAGCTCCCTCTTGTTTAGGTCAGCTGTTTCTGGGTTTCTCCAGCCTGGTCTTGACCCCTTTGCACAAAGACACTTTTAAAGAGACTAATGAAGACCCCATATAAAATGGATAAGACAGAGCAAAGCATTCAACATGCTTACAGCTGAGGGCTGCTGTAAACTGTATTAAACAAGCTGTCCACTCTATAGAAAGTGTATTCTACAAATGTTTATTGAGTTGTTAAGTCTTGGAAATGTGGTAGTGAGCAGAAACCCAGGTTAACAGTAAGCAAGGCACAGGAATGAGTTTCTGCCCTAGTCTACTGGCGTCAGTAATACTGAGAGGCAGCTGTTGTGAGATATGCAAAGGCTCTGGTGCTGCTGCAGTTGACTGGGGTGGGAAGGGAAGGCACCAACCAATAGAAAGACTTCCTCCTTGGAGAACAAATGGGGAGAGCTGTTCTCAGCTGATCCAGTTGGCCTGAGGAGGAGGTTTTACTGGCAAGGAAAAAGGACAAGAGATGGCAAGAGGACTAGAAACACCCAGTCAGGTATAAAATAGCGATCAGCAGGAGCAGGTCAGAGAGGGATGGGGACCTATGTGGCTGTCTTTTGAGCCTGCTTGCATTTCAGCAGACTCCTAGCATTTGAACTGGTGGTTCTTATGAAGACGGTGGGGATCTTGAAGTAGAACTTCAGTGGCTCAGGTCTCCATTTTCTTGAAGTGAGCACAAGGTTTGTTCTAAATTCCCAAGTGCCTCAAGCTGCTGTTTCAGCTTCCTCTGCCTTTCTTCCTGTTCACAAGCTTTATTCTGTATTACTTTTAAAAGAAATGATGTGGCTTTAGTTTATGCAGTGATTTGATTAAAAATTTACTTTCTCTAGTCTGGATTAGTTCAAATATATACTTCATAGTAGTTGTGCCTCAAATGAAAACAGTGATGTGAACAGAAATTAATATTTCAGAGTTCAAATGGGAATGAGTAACAGGAAACCAAACTTAGAGAGGCTATGCATATTGAGGTGACACAGGGCAAACTCTTTTCTCACAGGAAAAACCTGTTGTCATGTCGTTAGTTACTGATAGGTGCATCTGTAAAAATGAACATTGTAAGACAGAGTGTTAGGCAGTAACAGAAGGAGCTATTCATACCAGTCCTGTGGGAATCTGGTCCTCACCCATGTCCATGGGTGCAGTGCAAGAGGTATTTAGTACTAAAATGGGGCATAATAAATGCATGCTTCTTATGTTTGTCAAACAATGTTTCACTATGTACCCAGGCTGGCGATCCTCCTGCCTTACCCTTTCAACTGCTGGCATTACAGGTGTGCACCACAATACTCAGGTAACTGCATCTTAAACACACACACACACACACACACACACACACACACACACACACACACACACACACAAAACATTTATTAGCTATTCTGCTTTTTTTCTCTCTCTCTCCTGATGAATTTTAGAATTACAGTACTCGCTGCTTCAGGAGATGAGCTTTGAAAATAAACCTTAGGAAAAGATACAACATTTCTTCAAGTGAGAGGGAGGTGAGCTGCAGGATGGGTCACTGTTTCCTCCATCATGCTGCCTGTGGGCAGAGAGGCTGCAGGAAGCCTCATGTGTCTGTATATGGATAAAAAACACTCTGCAGTTTTAGAATAAAAAACTTTTGTTGTTTCTGCCTTGTCAGTTTTTCTGGTTACAGAAGTATTTGTATGTCTCTGGAAAACACTGAACTATAATCTATCCACCTACAAATCACTGCTATTTCTAGGAGGTGATCTGTCTGTCATCTGTGTCTGTGTATATGTGTGCAACTACAGTCTTTTGCATGTATTTCTTCTCTGTGTGTCATGCTGTTTTTGTAATGGGATTTTTTCATTTGATAAAAACTCTTTTAGAAGTATGTTTATTGTTTTGTCACCTGTCATTTTGATTTGAATCAAAACTCTAAACCACACTGTTATTTTATAAATCACCTACCTTCTTGGAATTTTATTAATGTATCTTCAAACAATCCATGGTCAAACAGTAAAGTATCAATGTCTTCATAGTCTAGAGGGAGAAACAGCTTCCTGTGTTAATTTTAATGTGAATAAATCCCATGAGGAAAAATCAGAACCACCCCCCCCCCATGGAAGAGTAAGCAACCAAGCAATGCAGCACAGCTCAGAGGCCATCAGGGAACCCATGAGAGGCATCAGTTCAGTATCCCTGTATAGCTAGAACCTCTGGGGAGGTTATAAGAGGTCACAGTAACTATATCCTTGCATACTGCAAGTGGATCTTTTTATTCCCTAGGAACTCATTAAGAAAGAAACTTCTGTTACAGAGTTGATCTAAACAACTACTCCATGGTCTGGCAAGATGGCTCAGCAGGTATGGGTGCTTGCTGCTACCTGATAACCTAAATTCAATCCCCAGAACCCACATGGTGGGAGGAGAACGGATCCTCCAACTTGTCCTCTGCCCTCCGTGTGTGTGCTGTGGTGGGTGCACAATGCAGATTTAAAAGAGATTTTATGTGTGTGCGTGTGTGTGCGTGCGTGTGCTTGTCTACATCTACAAACAGGTGTAGGTGTTCTCGGGGTCCATAAGAGTGTCAGCTCCCCAGGCTATTGAGGTACAGGCAGTTGTGAGCTGCCAAACACGATGTTGAAAACTGAACCTAGGCCTTCTGCAAGAATAGTGCTCTTTACCACTGAGCTGTTTCTCCAGCCCCTGTAATGATTTTTTTAAAATCTTTGGTTTATTAAGGAATAGAATTTGAGGCACTTGAAAATTATAGCCTATACTTTAAATATAAAGAAAAGAATAAAATTATAGCCTAGAGGCTGCTTCCCAGTACCATGTTGGGTGGTTTATGACTGCCTACAATTCTGGCTTCTGGGGTATCAGTTCTGTCATCTATGGGCAATGTACCCCCATGTACATACTTCCCACACACATATTTACATATGTAAAAATAGTAGAACTGTTTCTTAAGACATTAGCTGTGGCAACAACAACAAAACCAGTCAAACCAACACAACACAGTTGCGATGAATGTACCTTTACCATTCAGCTGTGTGTACCTCTGGGAAACAGTCTTCCATATCTAGTTGATTTACTATGGATAGTAGATCTGGCAATAACTTGATTTTTTAGTTTTATTATTTTGTGTTTGGGTGTTTTGCCATTATGTACACACAGGTAACATGTGCATTCCCAGTGACTGTACAGGATAAAAAGGTGTTAGATTCCCTTTGAACTGGAGTTATGGTTGTGAGCCACCATGTAAATGCTAGGAACTGATTTTGGATTTGCTGCCAGAATAGGAAGTGCTCTTGAGCCCTGAATAATCTCTCCGGTCCATAAACTGATTTTAAAGAATAATTTAAAGAAGGGAGGGAAAATGCATGTAATGATGGTTTGTTTTCTAGTATTCATTTACATTTAGCTGATTCAGTACCTGATTCTGAAGCAGTCTCATTCAGGAGTTTTCCTTGAATTGAATCAAGTTTTTCTAGTATCCCTTCAAATAATTCATTAAGAAGTCCTGCTTCTTTGCATTTCTTCAGAAAAGGAACATGGGAAATTGCACCTAAGAACAAAAAAAAAAAAAAAAAAAAAAAAACAAAACAAAAACAAAAACACGTATTAGGAGGAAATAGTCTTAGGGCAGCTATTCTCGTCATATGATTACTTTATACTTTACCAGTTGATGGGTGAACATAATTGTCTGATTTTTCTGTAGTTCAAATAATAAATAGTAGTACAAAAATAACTTTTCTCTGTTTATAGTAACTATTTGAATTAATATGATTTTGTAAAATTTAGCTCTAAGTGCTTGAGGTGACAGCCTCTCATTTTTGTCACAGATGCTGGAAGGATGGCCCCTTATAGAACAAAAGCTACCCTGCCACTGTGAGTTGTAGCACACCACTAGATTCTGGCCTCAGGCAAACCTACCTTCCTTAATAATTGTGTCTCAGACTAAGAAGTAATGGTCCATTCCAACTCAAATAATTTTATATGGCAGGGGTTCTAATAAGAGTGCATAGTTGTAATAAAATAAAGACTGTTGTTCTTATTGGGTACCAAAAGTCCAGAAGAATAGAGACACCAGCATTAGAAGAGATGGGTCAACATTTTTGTAAGTATTTGGAGGCCACTGTATTTGTACAACCCTCACTGAAAACAAACCTTTGTGCCCGAGGGGCTCATCTGTCATGTGTCTTTTGGGTCTACCCAACTTCTTTGGTGGCTAGAAGAGAAAATCAGATTATATGTTTTAATCAAATGCAACAAAAAAGCTATGTTAGACAGACTTTTTTTTTTTAAAGTTTAGTTTTGGTAAATTGGATCCAAATGGCACTCTGAAATAGCTGAGACCTGTATGGTATGCTGTTTGTGGCCTGCAAAATAACTCTTGAATAAACACTAAGAAGGAGAGATTGTTATCTTGTACTTGGTTTATATACACTGATAGAAATGTTGTGTCAAATCTTTCCAAATCTTTTAAATTCTAGGTCTACAAATCCTGAAATTTTTAAGTTATAAATTAGGTGTGGACATATGTGGACATGTAGCTGGGAAACACTTGGTTCTGAACAAATGCTTGTCTGTACTCTCAGCCCATTTAGGACTAAGTACCCTGTAAGGTCACATGTTTTCATTAAAATGCTGCCAAGGAATGCTTGATAGAAGCCAAGGGGACACTGTAATCTCCTGAGCTCCTTACTAATCTCAGTGTGATTCTAACACATCAGGACCCTAAGACTAGCTCCAGCTCCACCAGGAAGAGAACACACATGAAGGATGGTGTGTAAATGCAAGCTCCTCCGAAGATTTGAAAAGTGTGAGCCTCTGACATTCAGAATTTTAAGTAAGGACTTTATGTGAAGAAATGATAACTGTAAGTTAAATTACCTGTTCAGGGACGTCTAAAGGGAGACGTTTCTTCCTTCCTCTCTTTTTCTGCAAGCTTGGGCCCTCAGCTAAAATAGAAACCATTTAAAACTTAGAATATATAAAGCAAAAGATTGCTGGGTGGTAATGGCTTTAATCCCAGTACTTGGGAGAAGGCAGAGTCAGGAGAATCTCTGATTTCAGGGCCAGCCCGGTCTACAGAGCAAGCTCCAGGGCAGCCAGTGCTACACAGAGTCGGAGAGAGGGACACACAGAGAGAAATGGTTACTGTTTGTATAAAATAAAAAACATATGCCAAAAGTTGCAGAAGACTGGGTAAACTTGGACCATAGCATATACAACTTACAAAAGGACTGATTTTAATTATAAGTTCATAAGCCAATGTTAAACTGATAAATGACAGGTGGTGTTAGACAGAACAGAAAAATCAACTCTGGTCATAGTTGTTGAGAAGGTGCAGTAACACATTTTCATTATCAAGCTGACAAATGTCCTCTAGCTAATGCTTGCAGAGATTTGGGCAGATGTGTTTTCTTTGTCTAGAGTAGGATTTTCATAAGATTACTAGCCATTGATGGCTTATCCAGAGTTTTATCATTTATATCCTTTGGTCCAGTGATTTTTCTTATAGCAACTATACTTAACAGTGTAGTTAGGAAGTGAGCAGGTTTGATGGTGAATAACTTTTTGTTTGAGATGAGGTCTAACTATGTAGCTCAGGCTGTCCTGGAACAATTCCCCCCCCCCACCCCACCCCATACATATATATACCTATACACATATAATTATCATCATTCCCTGTCAATATACAATGATGGCAAACAACCCTTTAATGGTACTTTCCAATGAGTTAAAAATATAGTGACTATAGCTAGAGATAGATGCCTCAGTGGTTAAGAGCACTTACTGCTCTTCCAGAGGACCCAGGTTTGGTTCCCAGCACCCACATGGTGGCTCACAACCATCTGTAACTTAAGGTATCCATACAAATAGGAGCACATACGAAATTAAAATTGAGAAGAAATTAGATTATTTCATGTTTTACCTAAATAATTAACTTTCCTTAAACCCACTTTAGAAACTTACCACTTTGACTGGTCCCTGGTAGTTCTGGAGCATGTTGTTGGCAAAATAATCTGAAAATATAGAATTTCAAAGAATCACCAAATTGATGTCATTCTGTAAATATGATTCTTTTATTGGTTAATGAATAAAGCATTGTTGGCAAATAGGAAGATGAGATAGGTGGGACTAGGAGACAAGGAGGATTCTGGGAGACAGAGTGAGAAGAGTCAAGATATAGGGACTGTCTGAACTCTGCAGTAAGATAAGACCACATGGAAACACTTAGATTAATAGAAATGGGTTAATATTTAAGACAGAGCTAGCCAATAAGAAACACTAGTAAAAGGCCAACAGATTTATATCTAATACAGGGTCTCTGTGTGTTATTTGGGGCCGAAGCAACTATGGGACCAGGCTGGTGGGAAAACTGTTCATAACACTGAATCTTTTAATTTGTAGTGATCTACCTGCCTCTGCCTCCCCAGGGCTGGGATTAAAGGTGCACACTGGCTAACGCATTTTTAAAAAGAATGTGTGTAAGTCTGTAAAATCATTAACCCACATTAAGTGTGGGAGAGTCTGGCCAGTATCTTTGTACTCTTTGAGCATTAGAAAGGGAGTCTCTTCTCTGGAGGCATGAATGCTGAGTCAGGATTTTGAGCAGTACTATGCTGTGATGAGGGGCATCTAAGGAACTAATGTCTCAGGTTCTTAAGCTTCAATCTGCCTACCTGGAATTTTGCTGCTCTTCAAAAGTAACACAGAAGCATGTGCATTAATCTGGAGGACTTTTCAGGACCAGAACATGCCTTCACTAGAGCTTGTCTTTGTAGGGCATGATGCTCTCAGATAGCAGCAGAGCAGGCTACCGTGAGGAAGTTGTAATGGATTGCCAGCTCCTAGGCTTGATTTGTCTTAGCCCCTGATGGGACCTAGTGCCCCCTTCCCCTTTACATCAGTGCTCCTCCATGCCTTCCCCAGCAGCTCAGTCATCTCCTTTAGACCTGGTACCACTGAGCACTTTTCATCTGGTTTCAAACTTGTGCCTTCCACCACCTCTCCTGCTTTGATTTGAGGCATGCACTACCATGCTTGCCTATAAGTTTTTTTTAACATGTAAAAGAGTAATAGGAACTATTAGGATAGGCCTCTCCCGCCCTCATGCCCGCCCCTTCCTCTTGCTTCAGCCCCTCCCATGAGCTAGTGTTCATAGTTGCCTTTTTGTGCCCCTCCCCTAATCTGATGATACTTTCTCTTAGGTTCATTCTTCATGTCCCTTAGTCTCTTGTGAGGTGTCTCAGGTATTCTCTGCACCTCAATGTTTAAATTAAAATTTAAATGGCAGAGACATCCACCTGTTCCTTATGGAAATAATTAAAAGTTTTTTTAATTGAGTTAATTAAAAAGTTCTGTATCTGGGTCCAACACTAGAAGAAAAGAACTCATTCCCACCAGGCAGGTGTGTAGCCCCCTGAGCCTGTGGGTGTGAAGTGAAGGGAGAGCTCAGCAGAAGAGCAGGCTTGAAGTAGTGCCTGTCTCTTCGTGACCCATTAGGAGGGCATGTTGCCTGCAAATGAGGCTCTCCAGAAGGAAGACGGTACAGAGAAGTGTTCGAAAGTCAGACAGATGCTGAGTGGTTCTTTTCATGTCATATACAGCAATGTTATGCAGCGGAGTTCCTGATGGGTGTCCCACAAATCCTGTTCTCGGGTAAAAAACACTTGCATAAACTAAGCTTTAGAAGTATGTCACAATCTAGCCATTCCTTACCCACCCACCCCCTCTGCCATGTAGTTTTAAAGCTACTTAATTACTTATAAGTTCCTTTAACTCCATCAACTTGTAGAATTGTGTTGTCCTTCTTGGCACAGAAAAAGTGGTAATTCTTGGCACAGGATTCTTTATCACATCCCACGGTGGCTCCTCCTTCATTGCAAAGTGTGCATTTCTATAGAAAAATAGGTCATACTAGGTAAGTGCCCATTTCTTTGATGTCATTTAAGTCAGAAGCCCTGCATTTTTACCCTGGTTATCACTGGTATATCCCAGCCTCCATACCCACACCAAATGTGACTAGGTCATATCCAGACCCAGGCAGGAGCCCAGCACAGGCTTAGGTATTCCAGATCTCTCTAGCTAAGCAGAGGAGTAGACAGTGGTGGCCATGTGGGAAGAAGGGGCCAACAGGATGTGTCTATTTTCTCAGGAGAAATAAGGTGCTTGTGCATGTAGGGTGTGGTGAGTGGGTGACTGATGAGTACTAATAAGGAGTCGATTAAGACACAGCTTGTGGTTGGGTAGGGAGAGGCTTCAGAGAGTAGCTTCAGAGGGTGGAGGGAAAAACAGGAAGTGGCCAAGGCCCGGCTGTGGTTTTTAGCTGTGACTTGAGTATCAGGCAGTACACAAAGAAGCTTAAATGGGCATAGCCTTTTCCAGAGACAGTTTGTCAACACAGGTCAGCATTCTAAAATGGACTTCTGAGCTGTCAAGGTATACCCTGAGAAGTACTCGAGTAGGCTAGGCAGAAATGCCTGTCTCAGCACTGCCTGTGCAGTGAAACATTGGCATACACTTGTTACTGAGTGAGGTCATTACTTCACTATGTAGGAGTGAGGAGTTTGGTAGAGAGAATAACTACAGTGACATCCCAGGCTGACAGTGATCCAGTGTGCCTTGCTCCTTCTGGCCTTTAGCACATTGGTTTCTGTGCTGGCTACTTCACATAAGCTACAGTCATCTGAGAGGAGGGAACCTCAATTGAGAAAATGCCTCCAGAATATCTGGCTGTGGGCAAGCCTGTTGGGCATTTAATTAATTAGTGATTGATGAGGGAGGCCCCAGCCTATTGTGGGTGGTGCCAACCCTGGGCTGGTGGTCCCAGGTTCTATAAGAAAACAGACTGGGCAAGCCATTGAAAGCAAGTCAGTAAGCAGCACCCCTCCATGGCCTCTGTATCAGCTCCTGCCTCCAAGTTCCTGTCCTGACTTCCTTTATAACAGACTACAGTGTGGAAATGTAAGGCAAATAAACCCTCCCCAATTTACTTTGGTCATGGTGTTTTGTCACAGCAATAGCAACTCTAAGATAGTTCCCTTGGGAATTCTTTATTCTTTCTTCTCCATCCTTGGAAATGGTTTGGAGGTCCTGCTTCAGGAGAAGCCTTGTGTGAGGGTACTACCAATCCCTCCCAAAGTATATATACAGCTGTTCTGTTACTGCCTAGGGACTGGCTTCTCTCCCCCATGAGGTATGCACTGAGCAGCTGTCCAGACACCAGGTTCCAGAAGCAGTAGTCGGTGGGTAGCCATCACCTCATATGACTTGCTTTGCATTCCTACCATTGTTATCCTTCAGTTCAGTGCATCTGAGAGTTCTCCCATGAGGAAGGTCTTTGAAAACTGTCAGGTGTAACAACCTCTTCCTCAATATTCTACTGTACTCAACTGCCCTCATTCTGCAGTTGGACTGTTTGTATGTAGGCAACCTCTAGAACACTGGTTCTCAACTTGTGGGTGGCAACCATCGGAAAACATATTTTCCATGCATGGTCTTAGGAACTGAGAGATTGCTCAGTTTCAAAATCACAATTATGGTGTAGCAACCAAAATAAGTTTATGGTTGGCGGTACTTAAGACTATCAGAAATATGTGTTTTCAGACTGAGAACTGCTGCTCTAGAATCTGACGGACAGCTTTCTTTAATTCTATCCATAAACTCCCTCAAATCCAATTAGCAAATTATTGCGGTAAATAAGGATCAGGATAAACAAATAGGCCGAATAGATGTTTAATCAGGGAGAAATAACTTACAACCTAGACAGATGAACACCAGGAAATTCAACCGGATCCTCTCCTGTCCGAGTCAGGCCAGCAAGAGAGAGCGCCTTCCTGGCCCCCTCCGACCTCCTTCCTCAGGTCACCTCCGCCCATCGCTCCACCCCCCAATGGGCGTGGTCAGTGCTACAGAAGGACTACCTCACTACAGCAAATAATGATAAAAAATAATCTTTCAGTTGAGGTTGTCCTGCCACTTTGTAATTGGAAGGAGAGTTTACATAGAGCCTGCTGGTACAGATCCTGACACTTCACAAAGAGCACATACACGCCTGTGTGTCCCCAGTCATTAACCCTTTACTGTGGTGTGCTCAGCCATGAGGCACTAAGACTTGCTACACTGTTTACTAATCTTCAAATGGCCTTTTACAAAGGAAGCCTGGAGACCCAGTAAACCTAAGAAGGTACTATCTGAGCCATCCTTTACTGCATAGGCCATTATGACCACAGCTCCAAGGCAGATGCTGACCAGAGATAAAAAAGACACGTAGCAACAGTAGACAGTTAGAAAGCATCCTACTCCCAGTGAAGGGTCCAGCCCGGAGCTCCGGGCCTGCACCTTTATGCTTTGGGGGTGGGAGAGCAGAAGGATGAACCTGAAATTGGTGTTTGCTCTGGTGAAATGACAGTAAGGGCCTTGGTAAAGCCTGTCTGATTGGAGTGTTTTCTCTCCGACAGAAACATCGTAAGCCTACTTTACCTACGTGTGGGATAGGCTACTGTAAGTAGACAGTGCTTAGCCGAGTCTCACTTTCTCACAGTGCTACTTTCAGTTCTCCATGTTGCTACTCCATGGTACCAGTAGACTTCTTTTTAGTGAAAAGTTTTATTTTTACTTCTGCATATGTGTGTCTGAGTGAATATGCTAGTGCAGGTGCCTGTGGAAACCAGCAGAGTGTTTCAGGTGCCCCAGAGCTGGAGTTACAAGCAGTTGTGAGTGTCCATTTTGTTGCTGGGGACCAAACTCAGGTCCTCTGGAAAAGCAGCAAGCTTTCTTGACTGCTAAATTGAACCATCTCTCTAGTCCCGCCCCATAGACTCTCCTTTGACTGTAGCCCCCAAGACTCATGCTGTATGAGTAATAAAACCATGTCAACTTACCAGTCTTCTTCCTCTCCAGATCTCTTTCTTTACTGATTTCACATCAAAATTCCTAGCTTTATTAAGGCCATCATGATCCTCACATTCCACCAGTGCTGATGAATACAGCTGCAGGTTAGGGGGAAAAAAAAATCCAGAGTTGACATGAAGTATCCTGAGCGGTACAAGTCAGAGAGGGTACTGAAATGGCATTCCAGGGAGTGTAGAGTGAATGATGGTCCTGGGGATTGTGCAGGTGTATGAACAGACACAAGCCATCTGGCTTCTGTGAGTAAGCACAGTCTCCAGACAGGGTTTGTGCTGTGTAACTTAGCTCCACTGTCTCTGAAGCACTGACAGTGGCTCCTACACCACTCTTCCCCTAGCCCAGGAAGGTGCCACAAGGCTCAGCAATGGCTGAAGCCATGCAGTCAGAGTAGTAAAAGGACAAGAGGCCATTCCTAATGACTTTCCAGGGCTCACTTCTTAAACTTCCAGAACCACACCTGCCTCCACACCCCTTCACTTTTGTTGTTGTTGAGGCAGGGTCTCACTGTAACCTAGCTGGCCTGGAACTCATGTCCACTGTCGGCCATCCGAGTGCTGGGATTAAAGGCACACATTACTATACCTAGCATTTACCTGGACCCTGGCCTCTTTCCTGAGCCTTCTGAGCACTGAAAATGTCTGTATGGGGCACCACAGCTAGGCACAAACCCCTGCATGTTTTAGCTGGCACAAGTTTCTTTCCTCTTCAATATTTTAGGGAATGGAGAGATGCCTCAGTGGTTAAGAATGTGTATTGCTCTTACAGTGTTCAGAGGACCCACATTCAACTCCTGGCACCCACTTTGAGCAGCTCAGAGAGTTATCTGAAAGGAAGAAACCTCAATTGAGAAAACACCTCCATAAAAGGTAGGACTGTAGGGCGTTTTCTTAATTAGTGATTGATGAGGGAGGGCCCAGCTCATTGTGTGTGGTGGTCCTGAGTTCTATAAGAAATCAGGCTGAGCAAGTCAGTAAGCAGCACTCCTCCTTGGCCTCTGCATCAGCTTCTGTCTCTGAATTTCCTGCCCCATTTGAGCTCCTGTACTGACTTCCTTTGATGATAAACGAGATGGTAGTATAAACCAAATAAATACTTTTCTACCCAGTTTGCTTTTTTTGGTCATATTTTGCTGCAGCAATAGAAACCCTAACTAAGACAGCTTTATGCCTGCCCTCCTGTATGCTTAAATTATTTCTGGAGTAGTACAATATAAATGCTATGGAAATGTTGTCTGCTGTAATTCTTAAGGCAACAGGATAAGAAAAAGTAAGTGTATGTTCAGTAACAGTTGCATTTTTTCTGAATATTTTAGAGTCCATAGATATAGAACCCAAAAAGGCAAAATGCACATGGGGCATAGAAGAATCTCCAAAACCCTGCTGAGCAAAGGAATCCACACACTAAAGATCCCGTTCTGTAGCAGTCCTGTCATATGGTCTCTGAGAAAAGATCAATCTAGAGGGACTTGGAGTAGGTGGGAGTTGATTGCAAAGAGGCATGAGGGAATGTTTTAGAGTGCTGGGAGCTCTCTGAATAGCGACAGGGATCACATGGGGTCATACATGTCTCAAAACTCAACTGCACACTTAAGTTAACAACATTTTGTTTATGAAAACTGCACCAATAAAGTTCACTAAAAAAAAAAAAAAACAGCAAGTTAACAGTTCATCAGAACTGGTTTATCAACAGGGAAAAAAAAGTAAGTACCTAACAAGTTAAAAGGAAAAGGCCTTAAGGGATAAAAGCTTCATGTAATCCATGTGCTGTGCATTAACCCTTTGTCATGTTAGGACAGCAGGTGAAAACTCAAGTTGGGGGATTAAATGGTACTGTAGACCCAATGCTAATGTCTTGTTTTGATGACTAAATTGTACTTACTGGAGAGAATGCCCTTGCTTGTAGCAATACTACATTCACAGGGTAGATGGTACATAATTTAAAACAGATCTGACAAGTGGGTGCAGGGTGGCACACACCTTTAGTCTCAGCATTCAGGAGACAGAGGCAGAGGTAGGTGGATCTCTGGTGATTTTAAGGGCAGCCTGGTGTACATATTGAGATCCAGACTAGCCAGGGAGTTCTGTCTCAAAACACACAAGAAAAAAAGCAAGCCAGACCAAGCAAACAAGCAAACCTAAAATAAAATAAAGCATCCAATCCTGCTGTGGCCAGAAGATTAAAAAATAAACTTATAATACATCTCAACAAATGTATACAAAACATTTTAACATTAAATATGCTAATTTTAACAAAATAAGTAAAAGATAACATCTTTGTAGAAATATTAAAGTCTAAAGCATATGCAAATTTAGATAAGACTATAAAGCTATACTCCTGATAGAACAAGACAGGGCTCCCTCCTTTAACTGTTCCTAATCATCACTACAATGAATGCTCCAGAAAAACACAATAGAACAAAAAAAAAATTAAATCATATAATTGGGGGTTTGGAGATGGCTCAGTGGATAGAGTGCCCTCAAGGTGAAAGTACTCATGTAGGGGTCATGTTTTGCTTTCAATCTTTATTTTGTATGTATGTGCATTTTGGCTGCATGTCTGTCTGTTAAAACATAAGTACCTGATGCCCTCAGAGGCCAGATGAGGGCATCACATAGCCTGGGACTGGGTTATGGGTGGTTATGAGCCACCATGTGGCTCCTGGGAATGGAACCTGAGTCCTCTGGAAGAGCAACCAGTGCTCTTAACCACTGAGCCATCTCTCCTGTCCTACACATGTAATTTTAAAGATATTTATTTTCAAGTAACTTACCAAACAATTTTCATGAGCAGCTATATTTTCTGATGGTGCAAAGTATATCACACTCCAATCTTGGCCTTTGGGGCAGAAGGCACATATCCTTTTTTCCATCTTTTCTTTATTCTGACAGATCCCTATAATAACATCCAGGTTAAAAGCAGCAAAGTGTCAGGCGGTGGTGGTGTTGCACACCTTTAATCCCAGCACTTCAGAGGCAGAAGCAGGAAGATCTCTATGAGTTTGAGGCCAGCCTGATCTACAAATTGAGTTCCAGGACAGGTTCCAAAGCTACAAAGAGAAACTCTATCAAACAAAAAACCGCAGCATTTATGCCTTTGGTAGCTCTTCCACTTTTAAAGAAGAAGTCAGGGCCCTATTCTTATGGTAAAATATTAACTCCTGGAATAACAACAAAATCAGCAGTGTAAGTCAGAAAAAGCATTTCTTGTGTGGCACAGACTCCATTCAGTGTTCTAGACCAGTATTGCTAACAGAAACAGAGCAAGGCACAAAGGTGGGCTATGGTGTCATTGAAAAGCTCTAGGACCTGTACTAAAATATATAAAAGCTGCAGAGGCAGGGATTTAGAGTAATGTTTGATACCATATCTATTAAGTACAAATAGTAGTAGTAAGCCCATCTCTGGGGCCTATGAGCTCCCTTACCATGGGTTCTTTGTCAAATTTGCAGTACCAGATATGTGCTTCCTTCTGCTGGCCTTCAATCCAATTAGAGATCAGTTGGTTACCCCTCTAATATTCATGTCACGATTGCATCCATGAGCATATTTTGCCATGCTGGTTGTTCTTGTAGCTTATAGTGTTCACAGCTATATAAGACTGTTAGTTACTTTTTTTCTCCAACAAGCTACATTGTAACTTCCAGAACTATGAAAGCTAGCCAACAGGGAAGAACTTCCTGGTAATTGCTTAAGTTCTTTGTGTCTTGTGACTAAAAAGTGTGGTATCTTTGGCAATAGAGTCTTATTGTCTTATTACCAAGTTCACAACTTGTCAAAGTGTAGAGAATAAGTATCTGTGGAATGCTCAGCCACAAATGAGACACCCACAATAACCACCACCTCACCCAAGGCTTAAGGAACATTCTGGAAGAGGGGATGGAAGGAATCTAAGATCCATAGAAACAATGTCTTCTAAACATGACAGAAATGCTGTAATCATAAACTCAAAGCAGCTGTGGGTGCAGCTGTGTTTGCAACTTAGGTGCAGCTGTGGATGCAGCTGTGTTTGCAGTTTTGGGTGCATCTGTGGCTGTCTGCCCAAGGTCTGCACAAGAACAAAGCAGTCAAAATTCTAGCTTGCATGATGGTAGAAAATAGGGGGAGGGTTGGTGAGCATCCACCCCTAATTGAGGAGCTATTGCCAGTTGATGGTTTGTGGGGGAGGGAGTGTCAATTTTCTTTTTGGGTGCAGCCCCTGATAGGTCCACCATGCTCTAGTGAGTGGCCACATGCATCCGCACATAAGTAATGTTCATCACAAATTGGAGATAGTAAACTGGTCCAGATGGAGAGAGCAAAGGAAGATTTGACGAACACAATTCAAGGGAGGAGCATGATAAAGATCCCAACAGACATAACAGAACACCTGGGTCTGAATCAGAGGCTAGATACAGCAATTCCACCCCACTTCCCCCAAGAAGGCTTTAGGCTTTAATCCCAAGATTAAAGAATTTGAAAAAAGCAGTTATTAGGTAAGACTACTAGGGAATAGATACTGAGGCAGGCTTGGAGAAACAAAACATGGTATCATATATGCTTGATTTCAAATCCTATGTTCATAGAACCACTTGGACAGATGGTTAAATGAACAAGTCAAAGAACAGACAGTATAGGCAAAAACAGGTCATACCCCACATTTGTAAATTCAATGGCTGATACAGTGCCATTTGCATTTCTTCCCTAGAAGCAATGTCTCAGCCCATTTTTCTATTGAATTATTATATTTTTACAGATTTATTAAGAGCTTGTCACATGTTCAGAGTATCATCACTTAGAGCAGGACACCCAGCATCCTCCCCTGGCCTCTTCATGCACACCAGTGAGCACTGACACACACATGTACATGTACCGTACACATACATAATTAATATTTTATAAGTCTTACATGCCACTTGAGAGGTAGAGGTAGGTGAACCTCTGTGAGTTTGGGGCTAGCCCGGTCTACACAGTGAGTTCCAGGACACCCAAGGCTACACAGAGAAATCCCGTCGGGAGTAGGGAGAGAACAAGCGTCTACATTCTTTATGTAATAAATTCAAAATTCTTTTATGGTTTCTACCCTTAGTTAAGGGGGATATATTTAGAAAATAGTTAACTCTGGTTTTATAATATTAATATGGAATTTATTTTAAAGTACAAGATGAACATATAATTCATTTTCATAATGGTTAGCCATGAGTATTTCTAGTCCTATAGCAGATACAAAGTATGGGAAGTGGCTTAGAGCCTCTTCTCTCCTGCTCCTCACCCTGAAGTCTACACACAGATTAGCTAAATGAAATAGTTGACCACCTGGCTAGTGGTTGCCATGTGTTGTGGAGATTGGTACCTTCATTTGTGCCAACTTCTCTGCCTAGAACAACTTTTCAAGTTTTCTATCTCTTGACTTGAAAAAGTAGGATGAGGGAGGGGAGGGAGGGAGAAAAGGAGGGAGGGAAAGAGAGAGAGAAAGAGAGAGCTTGCTGTTTCTCTGGAGGACCCAAGTTTGGTTCCTAGCCCTCATATTTGGGAGGCTTACAAATATAACTTCAGCTCCAGGGTCTCCACACACAGCGATATGAACACACACACACACACACACACACACACACACACACACACACACACACACACACGGAGCTAGAGCCCACTTAAAGATTTAAGCTTTCACACTGACACACACACACACACACACACACACACACACAAACACATGGAGCTAGAGCCCACTTAAAGATTTAAGCTTTCACACTGCTGAAAGCCCAGGTCTACCCTTAGCAGTGTCCTGCAGTCTCCCTGGTGACCAAGGCTCCCTGAGCTGGGGAAAGGGAGAGTGGAGTGTGGCCCCTTCCGGCTGGCCACCACTTGGTACTTACCAGCAGGGACTGGGTCACCAGCTGGTGGTGCCTCTTGGGCCATGATTGTGCCGCTTCACTCCCAGATGCAGGACTGATTGTTTGTGGCTTTTAGTTTCATTTCTCTAAGTCTGGGTGGTGACAGCAGGAAGTAAGCTGGGAGGAGGTGCAAACTGGGGCAGTTAGCTTGCAGATTTTCAACTCTGAATAGTATTTTAAATGGTGTTCTCATTTGGTTTCTCTGTCAATGTGATGAACACCATGGCTCAAGATAACTTAGGGGAGGGGAGGGTGTATTTGATGAATATATTACAGTCATACAGGGACGAAGGGAGAAAGCAGGAGCAGCAGTACTTTCTGGCTTGCCTCCCTTGGCTCTTGAACCTGCTTTGCAGTACAACCTACAACCACCTGCTCAGTGGTGGTACTGACACAGTGGCCTGTGCCCTCCTCCATCAACTAGTGTTCAGAAAAATGCCCCATAGGTCAATCTGATGGAGGCAATTCCTTGAAGTTCTCTTTTCCCAGGTGTGTCAAGTTGACAACCCCAAATAGCCATCAAACAGCTTAAGAAAAACCACATCAGGAACCCTGATTCTTCCTTCCTTTTTTTTTTTTTTTTTTTTTTTAAGCTTAAGAACCAACTGATCTGTATTTCTGAAAATTCTACCATACCCTTTGACCTATGCAGTAGTATCTTTGAACAACACAAAATTAACAGTCCTAGACCTAGTTGCCAGTAAGGAATCTTTACTTAGCACCAGTGGTGTACAAAGCACCATACAAAGCCAGAGTTTTCAGTCCATGTAACAAACAGAAATATCCACACAGTCACCAACATACAGGAAATATAATTTTAAAAGTTAGGTGCTTTGCTGGAGAATTCAAGATAAACTTCAGGGAGGCTTGGACTCTGACAGGAAAAGGTACAGACTTGGCCTGGCAGAAGGAAGGTTAACTAAACAAGGCAACTTGGACAGCTTGGATAAAATGAAAGGTTCTAGCACAGGATGGAAAGTACCTTGAGTAGGTACTGCAAAGTCCTTTCTCACACTCTTCAGTAAGAATAGATGAGCAAGCTGGGAAGTGGTGGTACAGGCCTTTAATCTCAGCACTTGAGAGAGAGAGGCAGGTGGGATCTCAGAGGGTTTGAAGCCAGTCTGGTCTACAGAGGGAGTTCCAGGACAGCAAGGGCTACACAGAGAAACCCTGTCTCAAAAAACAAAACCCTAAAAAAGAATAAATGAGTAAATTCTGTAATTCTAAGAAAAGCCTCTAACTTCAAATAGCCACACGGGAATGCTTGTATGGGCAGATACACACAAAATACATTTAAATAGTATATTAAGCTTTTATTAGTATGTATTTCAAAGTGTGAACATGTGTGCCATGGCACACGCATGGCAGTCAGAGTCACTTCAGGTCATAGTAATTGTCTCCTATTATGTGGGTCCAAGGGACTGGTCAGGTTGTTGGGTTTGGCAGCATGTACCTTTACCTGCTGAGCCATCTCTTTGGCCCATAAACAATATCTTAAAAGACATATAACTATTGCAGCTATGGATCAAAACAGGATTCTTTAAAGGATTCTCCCTGGGCATGGTGGCACACACCTTTAACCCCAGTACCTGGGAGACAAAGGCGGACCGGTCTCTTTGAATCCGAGGCCAGCCAGGGCTACCTAGTGAGACTATCTCAAACAAACAATTCTCAAAGAAGAAAGCCCGTAGAAACAAAATTTGCAGGGGCTGGAAAATGTATCAGTGGTTAGAGTTCTAGCTGTGTAAACACAAGGACCTGAGTTGTCCACTCCTCACCACTCCATGCAAGTCAGGGGTGGGATAGGCACCAGTAATTTCAAGGCTTTAGGGGACAGGGACAGGAGGATGCTGGATGAAATGGCAAACCAGGTTCAATGCAGACTCAATGGGATAGGATGAAGATTGATAAAGTCAAGCACACAACGTCCATACTTACATAAACCAAAAGAAACAAAAATTAACACATTAGAAAAATACAATGCAACAGATAGTTTGAAGATCAGGTTCCCATAAAGCAGAGGAAGATAAAGCTAAAAATAAAAAGGTAAGAAATCAGAAAGCACTGGGAGGGAGGCAGGGGAGCATAAAGACAGGAGGGAGAGGAAGATGTTAAGTAAGGATGTCTGGAAAAGTTATAAGGATCTAAAATTATCTAGCTAAAACACCTATAATACACTTCAGTCTGTATGCACGTGTAAGTTTAAATGGAATCTTCCCATTCTGACCAGTGGTGCTCCCCCCACCCCCAAGTGCCATAGACTTATCTAGCAAGACCTCCAACACCAGGCACCAAACGCCCTCTTTTGATTGGCTGGCAAGAGTTGTTCAAGAGATTCCCAAAACATACAGGCTATTGCTATTGCCTTTGATTGCTCCCAGAGATGAGAGGTTAAATCTCTATTGCTAGAGATACTATGCATTCAGACATAGGTTCCAGAGGACTTACATCCAACTTGAGACCCTCCTTCTTAAAGATTGTCATGGTACCACCAGGCTCTATGTAAGCTCCTGAAAGGGGGCAGCAACCAGTTACCTTAAAGACTGAAAGCATTCACTTAATAAGATTGGTTGATGAACAACATTCATAGTACTGCTTGTTGTGGGGGCCAATGGGGATCAGTTGAAGCCAGTAACTTAATCCTTTGTAAAACTCTTTTAAAGATTTCTGAAAAGTATTTTATTCCTTCCCCCATATGATCCTTTCCATGCTGTTCAATACATAACAAACCCTGTTATGAGGGACATCCACACAACAGACACACACAAACACAGACAAACACAACAGTTACATACAGGGACAGCATTCTTCTGGTGGGCACAGAAGATAGATGACACAGGGAACATGAAGTGGATAATTAAAATCTGGACCAGCTATTGGTAAATAGACTTCAAGATGGAGTGCTTTTATTTCTTGTCTTAGTGTAACACCAACATATCACTGGCAACTCAGTGTTAGTTCCTAATGTGTTTGTCTAATTGATATACACAGTAACTAACAGTTCTGTAATTGGTCTTAAGACCTGCTCAACAAGAAGGAAATCATGCCTGGTACTGGAAACCTAGACAATTTACCAAGGTTAGTGAAGTCATGGATTTTGGAGAACCTACAAGTTCCACTTTACAAAAGTAGCATAATCCCTAATTACATTCTAAATATTTGTCCTTATACCCACAGATAAATATAGCTCTACCTTTCATCAAGGAAACTTCTCTTCGAAAAAACAGATGAAGAGCATTATAGAAAACTACAACTGATCAAAATGCAGTTGTAGAGCCCATTCCCAACAAATACATAATTCCTATACCTAAGTAAGGATCATTGAGGTAGAGGAGGCAGAAAGATTAAGAGCCAGAGAAGAGGAAGTTTACTGTGAGAACTGTATTTTCTAGAAATGACAGGGAAGGTACAGTCATGAAGTCTCACCAAGTAGCTGCCTAAACATAAGCTGAACAAGGACAACACCAAAAGACATGCTAACTGGAAATGGAAAATCCCAGAAGGCCTGAACCCTAGGCAAAGAACTACAGGTTATTGAGTAATTCTGAAAGAAGAAATAGTCTTCCCCAGGGAAAACACACCAATTATTCATCCAAAACCAACCTTAAAAACATGTATACACAAGTAACATTATACAGACTGAGTAGGATGTATTTGTTTATTTAGGAATATACATATTCCTAAATATACACACACAAATGTAATTAAAGAAAAACATAATGAATTTGACAGAGAGCAGGGATGGGGTGGGGTAGAACATGGGAGGTATTGGAGAGAGAAAAGTGGGGAGGGGGATGATGGAATTTTTCTAAATCTCAAAAAACAAAGAGTTATAACTAAAAAAGTCAGAAAGCTGGCTCAGAGATTGTTGCAGGAGAATTGGCAGAATGACTGTAAAAGCTAGAATTTCAGGATGGAACTGAAAGTCTTCTGGACATGACAGGTTCTCTATAGTCATGAACTTAACAGCAGCTATGGTTGGTTGCTTGTAAGAGATCAAACCTGTCAGCCTTCAAGCATGAGATGGAGCTCATCAGCCCCAACCCTGAGAAGCTATTCATAGTTGATGGTTTTTAGGGGAAGGAGAGTGAGTTTTCTTTAAGGGTGTGGCACCTGGTGACCACACGAGTATATGGGCAGCATAAATTGGGAATTGGTGGGTTATTAAAAAAAATACAAAAAAACAAGACATGAAGTTGGAAGAGAATAGGAAAATGGTGGATGGATGTAGGAGAATATGACCAAAGTATATTGTATGAAATTCTCAAAGAACTAATAAAAATATTACATTAATAAGTCAGAAAGCAATTTTTTAAAAATTCTAACATTTTAGTAACTAATTCCAAAGCAAGAGAAATCCTTAAATTGTTTAAGATTTTCTTACATGGAAGGACTGTTTTTTAAGGCTGAGAACTTACTAAGCACCTGACAGAAGGGGTGAAAACAGACCCGTCACAGCAGGACAAAGGTAATACTACAAATGTCAAGTGGTAAAAATTCTATACAGTGCCAAAATACCAAGAAAGTCTAAAACAGACATTCTAAGCATGCAGCCTCAAAACATTTACTTCTCAATTTTTTGTTTTCAAAAGTTACTGTTTCACCTTCTTTTGGGGAAAAAAACAAGTAAGAGGGAAGTCTGGCCTGTAAAGTGGCATGTGCTGGCTGGCAGGCACCAACACCAGGAAATGCAGATCAGGCTTTCTGGAGAACTTTGTCCAAGAGGATGATATTGATAAAATACCTTTTTCTGGAAGTCGAATGGACTCCAAAGTGAAATCTCAAGAAAACAAAGGTGTTTCACAACAGTCCCTTTTGGACAAAACAATTTTCCATAACAATCAGGCCTCCTCACTTTGTTTTAGTGCCTAAAGCCCTCACATCATTACCATGAATATCTTGACTACCTGCCTGCAGTTCAAAATGTTTCTCTTTTTAATTTGATTTCCTTCATTCTACGTTACACAATTTTGACTAGCTTCAAGATTACCTTTATTTGTATCTCTACTCTGTGTTGAAAAAAGTATTAATGTTCTTCCAGGTTTCTGTGTTCCTTTTGTCTTGTGCACCAAGGTACTACAGAGTTACCGGAAATGAAGTTCTGTCTTCAAAGAGTGTATTCAGAATGGCCTCCTACTGGAGTGATAAATGGGAAAATGAAGTAATAAATAACTTGGGAGGGCTGAAGATATAGCTTTGTGGTAGACTGACTGCCTAGCATGTAAGAGGTCATGGGTTCAATTCCCATCAAAGAAGAATATGTTCAATTAATGTACATAAAGTTAGCACCTACACATTCTTCAGACTCTTGCCCCTTATTTGTAGTTTATAATGGTCAGTGAACTGTCAGGAATTTAACAGCAACTTTGTAAGTTAAAGATGTAAATTTTGGTCCTTTGGAACATAAATTAAAAATAATAACTCCCACCCCCCAAAAAAAGGACAGGTGGTGGCGGCATACACCTTTAATCCCAGCACTTGGGAGGCAGAGGCAGGTGGATCTCTGTGAGTTTGAGCCAGCCTGGTCTACAGAGAAAGTTCCAAGACAGGCTCCAAATTTACAGAGAAACCTTATCTTGAAAAACAGAAAAAAACAAACAAAAACAAATCACAAAACAATTTATAAACATACAAATTCTATTATAATTTTTGTCTTAATATATAAAATACAAAGTTATAAATTATACAGTGATATGTACACAAATATGCTATTTACATTCTACTCATGTAAAATTAACAATAATAAGTGATACTTGATGCATATGAGAGTGTCCTTATTTTGTTTCTGACCTAAGTTATTCAAAATCAGATATAAAGCATGAATACCCTGAATAAGGAAAACAGAAGGATTAACCACAATTTCATTGACAACTGATATAGTTCCAGCTTGACCAGATCATTTCCTCAAAAGACATCTGAGATAAAGTTATATTATTTTTTTCCGACACTTATTAACTCCACATTGGCAGAGGATTTCCTTTTCAGGTATGGTCCCAGCTTCATAACCATAATCCCATGTTAGTTCTGTTCTTGCTTTCACATACCTGTAAAGTATAAATAAAAAAGAATCATACATAATCCTAAATAATTCCACATGAATCAACCTTGAATATGCCAATTTTCAAATTAACAAAATCAATCATTCTAAAGTTTATCTATTCTCTCTCCACATCATCCACCATTTAAGATAATCATTTGACTTTAATTTCAAGTTTCCCAAATCCTATGTAAGAAGTGTATCTATGAGGAATGGTGTTTTGCAAACATGAAGGCTGTGGTACACAAGCAAATGGAATAATTCCGACTGTAAAGAAGATACAAGAAATGGCTGTATTCCTTATATGGGATAGTTTTCTTATTCAATTGCTATTTTTACTTCAGGATATTAATGTTTTCCTTTGGGCAATGATTTTGGGAATTAAAACCATTTGCTATTTTTTTCTCAATATTTTTCTTCTTGTATTTTTCTCCTACATTTTTAAGAACTATGGAAGACAGTGTACTCCTCATTCAATGTAATTTTGCTTGTGGCCATTTTAGCACCTCTAAATTGGGACTCATTGTTGTGCTGGACTCTAAGCTGATTGATTATTCCATCTCTGGCAGACCAGGCAGTCAGAGATAACTGCTTTCAGAATCAGAAGGAACCTGCAGGAAGTTGCTAAATAAACCTTGCTGTCTGAATAGCAGGATCTGCATCCTGGGGTCCTTCAGTACCTGTCTCTCTTCTATGGACACAACTAACTGTGAACATGATATATGCAAACAATACTGTGTGTCTGTATCACCTGGCATTAGCCTGTCTAAGAAGTGTTCTTTGTGTAGGTATAGGCTAGTCCCACTGGTTTCCTCAACCTCTCTACCTAGCTACGATAATCATGTAATGATATAACATTGACCCTTTTATGATAGTTGGCATTTGCTCTTTCCTGGAAATTCGAGTGTAAGTGTCATATGTATTTGATGGCCAGTCACTTGTCATTTGTCCTAAAATGATGCATGCAAAGCCATAGCGATCCATGACATGCTGTCTCACAGCACTGACTACACCTCAACTTGGCAGGACTCATCCACTCTTTCTGTCAGAGCAATACCTTTGTGTGTGTTGGGTGTTCTAAGGCCTGGCTATATCCCAGCCTACAAGTTACTTTACTTTTAAAAAGCTGTTTAACACATGTTAAACATCCTGTTTCTTCATAAATAAAACTCTCACATTTTCATACTAATACTTTTAAACAATTCTACAGATTATTAAACCTTTCTGTGGAACTGGGATTAAATTTGAAGTAGATAAAGAAATTATCTTTAAAAAAAAAGAAAAGTAAAGGTCTAGGTGAGGCCCTCAATCCCAGCACTTGAGAGGCAGAGGCAGGCAGATCTGAGTTCTAGCAGATTACACAAAGAAACACTGTCTCAAAACAAGATAGATGGATGACAGATAGATAGGTATGTAGGTAGATAGATAGATAAACAGACAGACAGATGTGTTCATGACCAACCTGGACTATGTCTTGAGTACCAGGTCAGTAAAGGGTAAATGGCAAGACCCTATCACAAAAGCAACAAAAAAGCTAACTGAATCTCTTCTGCAGAATTACTGCAGGTTTTCTCCAACATATACAATTTTATTAACTGTAAAAAAAAAAATGTATTTAGCAATAAATCAAATTATACTATTACACACTGAAGTTTGTTTTAATACTATTTTCTGAGTATGCACAATAAAAATAAGAACTCTGCTGATAAAAACAAAAAGGATACAGCAATGTTCCTGTTCCCCTGAACTGACCAGTGTAATCTGATGTCCTTGGCCCCTTAAGAAATTAATTCTAAATGAGAATAAAAGTAGAAATCCCAAGTGTTCAAATTTTTACTAATAATTAATAGTTTAGGATAACTGACTGTTTTAAGATACCAGAAATTTGGGGTTATGTTTCATCTTTTTATACTTTTTTCATATTTATTAGTTTAAAAACCATAGGTGCAGCATTAAATTGTATAAGCAAAACAATTAAAACCTGTTGGTAAAGAAGGCGACCAATGGAAAATTCTTGTCATGTGTTTCTACAAAAACATTCTGTATGCAGAGATTCGGGGAACAACTGTGCTGTTAAAAAAGAAAAAAGAAAAAAGAATTAAACACAAAGGTTAGACAGTCTAAAATTTAAAACCTTGCTATTTAAAGTATGTGAATACCATTGTTTCCTACACATCTCACTTATTTTGTCTTTCTCATTTTAGGTAATATGCAATCTACCACATCTCTTAACAGTGTAGTTAATAGCAGAAAGCTATTCAGTAAAACCACTTAGATATCTTGAAATATATTGTTTGTCAGTACTTAATATTATTATAAATACATTTATCATTCAACTCAACAACACTATATTAAAAATGTATTGTACAGAGCCATCTGACAGATATGTAAGGTTGTTAATAAACAGTTTTTAAACATTTGGAAATAATACCCACCTATAGGGAGCTATTTAATAGTGACATAATAGAATTCTATGCCGCATAAAGGGAGAAACATGCTAATAAGAAGAATCATGGCCATGGAGATAGTTCAGTGTGTAAAGGCATTTGTCAACAAGCCTGATAACCTGAGTTTGATTCCTGGAACTTACATGGTAAAAGGGGGAGAACCAACTCTCCAAGCAGTTCCCTAACCTCCACACATTCAAGTGGCATGTATGTATCCCCAGGCCACATAGAAAATAAATAACTAAATATAAAAAAAGAAAAAAATCAGGAGCTCCTGTGTACTGACACATACTGATCTTCAGGATAGTATATTGTTAACTCAAAAAGTAAGTATAAGAGATAGCTCAAGCAGGGCAGTGGTGGTACACACTTTTAAATTCAGCACTTAGGAGGCAGAGGCAGACCGATCTCTCTCTGAGTTAGAGGCCAGCCTTGTCTACAAAACAAGTTTCAGAACAACTAGAACTACATGCGCGCGCACACACACACACACACACACACACACACACACACACACACACACACAGAGAGAGAGAGAGAGAGAGAGAGAGAGAGAGAGAGAGAGAGAACTCAATTAGTAGTGTATTGCTATGTAAGCAAGTAGACTTGAGTTCAATCCCTAGACCCTACGGGAAAAAGCCAGGTGTGGTGGCACAAGCTTGTTCTATCAGGGATAGAGAGGCAGAGAAAGAAGATCCCTGGGGCTTGCTGCCAGACAGCCCAGCCTGATTGGTAAGCTGCAAACCAATGAGTAACCTTGTTTTAAAAAACCAAGGTGAATGGCACTAAAGGAACAACACTCAAAACTGATCTCTGGCTCCTAAACACACAGGCACACATGTGCATGCAGTCAAGCACCCATGCACTCACACACACTCATTAAGTGAATAAGCTGTACAAAAGAGAACAACATATGCATTCACTTGCATTAGCAGAGCAGGGGTAGGGGGTAGGGGCAGAATAAACAAGAGCCACACAATTGAGTCAGGGAAGTTGGCAGCACAATACTTTTCAAGAGAAGGCCTTGGCTGGGCAGTGGTTTAATTCCAGCACTGGGAAGCAGAGGCAGACAGATCTCTGAGTTTGAGGCCAGCCTGATCTACATAGTAAGTTCCAGGACAGCCAGGGCTACACAGAGAAAACTCTGTTCCCAAAAAACAGAATTACATACATACATACATAGAAAGGGCCTTGAAAACAAGCAAAAGTGTTGACAGAGTTTTAACACGAGAGTGTATACAATCTAATCCTTGTATCCTAATCCAAACCAGTACCTCTGAAGAGGAGACATGTATAAGCAATCAATTTCTCTCAACATAGCATGCCATGTAACTTTTCCTAGGCTTGCAACATGACATTACTCTCAATACCACCATTCCAGCACTTTTTAGCTGCCCACTGTCTTCTCAATGTTGACATCTATTACTATCAACAAGACTCACAAAGATACCAAATCTCTCCAATACTCTCGAATATATCCATCACTTAGTTTCAATGATGATTATTTTCCTATTCAATTATTTTGTGCAACTTAGACAAATGAATTTGAAAACTGTGTGTTTGATGTATGTGTATATGAACCTATCTATGGAAGCTGGAAGTCAAATGTCAGATGTCTTGATTGTTCTTCACCTTACCTTTTCATACATGTAATAACTTTATAACCTTACTTTTTGAGACAAGGTCTCATTGAACTTGGAGGTTGATGATTGGCTAAACCAGCCAGTAAGCCCCAACATCTTCCTGTCTTCTCCCTGCTGCTAGTGCATGTCATGATGCTGCCTTTTTTTGGGTGTATGTGTGTGTCTGTATATGATGTACTGTGTGTGGTATTGTGTGCATGTGTGTACACAGGTACACGTCTGTGGATGTACATGTGGAAGCCAGAGGTTGGTTATGCAGCTTTCTCGTGCTCCACCATAATCCCTTGAGATACCACCTCTCACTGACATTGGATCTAGCAAGTCTGTTTCCATTCCCAAGAGTGCTGGGGGTTACAGGCATGCCTATTGCCACACCAGATTTTTAGTGGGTGCTAGGATCAAAACTCAGGTCTTCATGCTTGGCAATCACTTTACTGACTGAGCCATCTCCCCAGCCCTGGAAACTGGCCGATGTGTTTATTTTTCCATGGCTTTATGTTTCGTTTTGTTTTGTTTTAAAGACAGGTTTTCATACTGTAGCCCAGGCTTGTCTAAAACTCAGGGAATCCTCCTGCTTCAGCCTGAGAAGTGCTGGGATTACAGGCATGAGTCACCATGCTCAGCCATTTCTTAAGTTTTCTAATGCAAATGATTACTTTATGGTAAGTACTTTCAAGCAATTTATATTAATTAGTATGATCCCCCAAGACACCCTAGTCATTCCCAAATTAGCAGTAGGAATTAAGCATCAAGAAGTAGCATACAGAGGTACACAAACAGAGGAATGAACCAGTCTGTCTTTACAATCTATTAATCCCATCTTCCTGATAAATTTTAAGGAAAGGAGTGCTTAGAGATAGGAATCAATCCTGATACTCACATTAAGGAAACGGCCCACGTTTCCTTCTTTGGAAGCATCCAATAGAAATATATTCTCTTTACTGAGCCTTGTTAGAGAAGGTGGTGGTGTCTTTGTCCTTTCACTTGGCAATTCTTCATCACAGAAGACCTGTTGATCGTGAGAGGCTGCAGATTCTTCTTGGGACTTTTTTACTGGAACTTCAAGCACCTTTTTAATATTCTCATTATTCAATGTGGCTATGTGCTTACACCTGCCATCTGGTGAAGCGTCTTCTCTACTTTTAGTTATATCTATCATGTTTAATTCAATCAGCTGTTTGTCTTCAGAATATCCAAATTGGTTTGAACTTAAGTCCTCTAGTAGACATTGTTAGGAAGGAATTGTCAGGGCATATACTTGGTTGAATCACAGTACTAAGATTAAGTTAGATGACAGTTACTTTAATTAGCACTAATCCTTATCACACATTTTCTTTCTATGGCATCACATCTTTTAATAAATCTACTGTTGCTTCCTCATCAATGTATTTATATCAAATCCAAAAAAAAGGTGGCTTTCCATCCATTGACTCTAGAGTCTGCACTTAAGTATATTCTCGATTTGAATAACAAAAAGAGGAGCGAGGCCTTTAACATGCCATAGTTCTAAGAAAACTCTGTCAGGAGTTCTTTTTTTTCGAACTCCAGCAAAAACAACTGCATTTCCAAGGGCTTGCACATACTGATGTTTGGTGCCTTTTTTAAACGACCAGTCAAAAATTGTACTTTTATAAACCAATTAAGGTGTTGAGCTTAGTTTTTGTATCCAAAATGGAACTAATTCTTTGTGAACATCCAAAGTATGAATACATGTTAGATAGAGTAACTAAACTCAAGGTAAAAAAAAAAAAAAAAAAAAAAAAAACCAACCCACTCATGCCCCACCAAATTATACTTAGTTTAAAAGTTGATCTTAGGCTGAAGATATGGTACGGTGGGTGAGAGTACTTGCTGCCAAATGTAAAGTCCTGAGTTCAATCCCTGGCACCCCTTGTGGTGGGAGGAAGAACAGATTCCCAAAAGCTGACCTTTGACCTTGGCATGTCAGGGCATGTGAACATTTCTATCCCTCAAATAAATGGATAAATATTTTTTTTAAAGGAGGGGGGAGGCAAAAAAAAATCTTTGAAGATATTTTCCTGTTTTTCTTAAAAAAAAAAGTTAATGCAGAACAGTGGTAACTAGAGCCAGAGAAGGATCTGAGGAAGAGGGAACAGAATAAGATGGCTAATAAGTGCATGGGTACAGTAGGATAGGAGGTGTAATTCTAATGTCCCAAGTAGCAGAGTAAAATAGCAATGGTTGGCTATAATTAATGGTATATTTTCAAATAGCCAATAAGGACAATTTTAAATGTTCCCAATATCAAGAAGTAACAAATCCTTGAGGTAAATGATCATTACACACTGTATACTAAATGCCATACCATACTTATAAATATATGTAACTATTAATTTAAAATATTTTAGAAAGAAATTCTACTTACTAAACAATAAAGGCTCATGGTTAAGTCATTATCATATAGATGTTGATCCTCCAGTACTTGTAAAGATTTCTGATAGTTTCTACTAGCTATATGGTGTTGTTATTTGGACTGCATGCTACATATATTTAGCAACTGGTGAACATAGAGAGTCAAAGCAACCACACTCATTATGGACCATGTATATCATGTAAAATGCTCATTCTTAATAGAATCTCTCAGTCAGGAGCAATCTTACCTCCAGCAATCTATCCTTTAACTCTAGGTGGGGAGTTGAGTTGCAGATTAAGGGTATGAAATGGGACAAGAGGCAGCAGTGGCAGGCCTGTTCTCCAAAACAGGGCATCTGTCATCCGTATCTCTTTATTAAGGGATCCATCAAAATACAAAAGTTCCTAAACCCAGGTCTGTCCCCAAGCTGTAACATTTATCACACAGAGGCTGTACTCTGAGACAGTCCTCTGTGGAGGGAGATTTTGTACCCTTGGTAGCATTACACTGAGGATCCTACACAGTGGTGTGGGCAGAACTACTAGAATAATGTATCTTTAAGAGTCCAAAAGGAAGACTTGAAGTGTGGCTGCTTTGGCTAGCGCTTCCAAAATCACAGACACCTCAGAACCACACAGTCAGAGCCATCCACTCTACCCCTCCTGACAAGCAGTAGGTCATTGCTAAAAGCAGACCAGAAGTTTGCAAACTCCTGTAAATGTAGCACTAGTCAGCAAGTATTTAGAAGTCATATGAACTCTGTTGTGACTATTCAATTAGGCTGACATAGAGGGAAAGTAGAAACATGTAAACCAATGTCTGTAGCTATATTCCACTAAAACTTACAGACACTCATGTTGTAAGTTCTTATAATTCTCAAAGGTCATGAAATATTATGCACCATCTGGTTTTCAACTGTTTAAAAATGTAAAAAGTATTCTTTTATCAACCATAATTAACATATGACAGGCCAGATTTGGAGTACAGTTTACCAGTTTCCCCATGACAACCCCATCAATGTTATAAAGTCTATGGAAAGAAGTGGTATATATTGAACAAAAGGGACAAAGAGGCAAGGAAGACAGTCATATGGAAATGAAGCCTACCGTGAGCTCTAGCTTTAGAGTTTATGTGTTCTTGAGCTGGTTTAAATCCATTCTTATCTTCAGAGGCAGCAGACTCTGAGGAAACAAATCCCTTCAAAGAAAGTAAGAAAGACAGCTGTGCTCTCTAAGTCAGGAAAAAGTACTCAGCAGTAAGGCCTCTTTCACTAACTATCACTCTTTACAGGCCATGCACATTAGGTTAGTTCCGAAAAGCTACAAAGCTGGTATTGTAAGGAGCCAACACATGTGCCTCTTTTACACTGTCTATTTCTAGGCATTTTAATAAGCTACAACAATTGTCAGATATTATCTCGGCTAAAAAATATAATAAATTTGTCTGTATCTCAGACTTGAATAGCTTGTATGTTCAAAAAAATAAAATAAATCCTACATAGTATTATGCAGTCTAAACATTTAAGTAAAGGCTAGAAAGGTAAAATAATGGTTAATGTCTTTTGTTTTTCAAGACAGTGTCTTGCTATGGAGCCCAAGTTGACTTCAAACTCATGATCCTCCTGAATTGGTCTCCCAAGCACTAGCATTGCAGGCATGCCACTATGCTCAGTTTGATCTTGTCTTTACCATGTTTTTCTCATCATAATAAAAAACAGCTGTCTTGAATTTAGGGCTTCTAATGACTGAATGACGCTGAGTTCTTGAAATATTTCTGTAGTTCATTTCCCTGAAAAGGAAAAGAAAAGTTATTCTGTATATCACTAAAAGTTTATTTTATTAGACTATAAAGTATAGGTGATATCACTACTTTACAAACTTCCATTATTGTTAGAAATTAATCTAGGGACTGGAGAGATGGCTCATTGGTTAAGAGCACTAGTTTCTTTTCCAGACGATCTGGGTTCAATTCCCAGCACCCACATGGCAGCTCACCATCCCCAGTCCCTGGGGATCCAAAACCTACTTCCCCTGAGTGCACCAGGTACAAAAGTGGTAAGGCCAAACACCCATACACATAAATTAAAACTAAAATATAAAAAAATAAATTAATCTATATATATCACATCTACACTACTTAATAGAGGAAAGAAAAGGTAATCACTAGATACCAATAACTTTAAAATGTGTTTTTTAAAAAAAGGGACCCTAATAAAACTTACCAAATAGAATGGTGATACAAAAATAAAATTAAAATGTATAACATTCATAAAGAGCCAGATGAAAGTTACCCACCATGAATTCAGAAATGGGTACCAAAGGAAATGTGTTGGCTAGATTTTTAAGGTGAAGCTGTAAGACTTCTAGATTTGTTAAACTTTATTTGTGCAGCAAGAGGATGTTTAGAGGAGAGAAATGGAGAGACATAGAGGGGGGAAAAGCCCAAACACTCCTGATCCATAACAAGGGGGTATACCATATGGAAGTTCTTACTTACATAACAGGTTCATTGATATCACTGCTAAAGTTAGGAGGACATTTCTCTGAACATTCAACTTGTAGTTTCCTCTTTTTGGAAAATGTATTTTTCACAATGTTCTGTTGTTCTCTTCCATTTCCATCGGCATTTGGTTTCTCAGGAGTGGCTCTGCTTAATAATCTTCCTGAAATACAACAGACAGTGATCAAAACAGGAAACAACCACTACCAACAGGTAGGCATCTGTTCTTTGTAAATAAAGACTTGAGGCTAAGTGCACTGTATTTCTAGAAAAGAAACTCACCCTAAAAATTTTAGAATCTAGGTAACTCATCCAAGAAAACCATTCCAAGACACTATAAAAAGACTAATGGGAGACTTCTGTCTTACATTCATAATAAATATGATCTGAAAGAAGCACCAGTTCATTCTGGTATTTTAAAAAGAAAGATCCACAGTAATGTAAAACAAAAACAAATAAAGTGCTCTAGATAATGAAAAGTAAACACTTAAATTTTCAGTTTGAAACCTTAAACTCTTCTGAAAACTGACCTATTTAAAATGTGTGACAGTCTACTTACCATATTCAGTTTAATATTAAAATCTTTGTCTCATTTAATGGATTTTCTTTTCAGAGTCAAAATTATACTCCCTTCTCAGGTAGAATTAGTGACTAGATATTCCCACTCATCTTTTTAGGTCACCTTTGGGTATATGTTCTAAGCTCTGCAGACACTGCCAATAACGCTTTCCTAGACACCTCTTAGGGTGCAGAGACAGCTCCCACTCAACGGTTAGCCAGAGAAATAGGACAAATGTCTAGGTAGGCTAGGTAGTGTATGCATGTCAGTGGTGTATGACAGATTCATGCATGACTGACTATTCTGGAGTCCCTGAAACTAAGTAAGTAACATGATTAAAGTAACAGTGTGAATCACCATAAGCAAATACTCATTACAATATTAACTTGTGAAAAACATTAAGGAGTTTTTACCTTAGTGAGTCATTTAGTTCTTATTTAGAATGTTCCTTCCCTTACCCCAGAGCATCTGTAGCTATGAAGACAATGTGCCTTGTAAGTCTTGAGCATTAGTGAAATAGAGCTTTCCCTTCCTGAAGTACCAATGGCATCTTAGCTCTTTGGGACCCAGGATCCAGTCACTTGTCTCCTTTAGTGCTCCTCCTACATCTTTTTGTTCAGCACCTTGCTAAAAATGCCAATGGCTGTCTAGGACAATCTATATTCAGATGTATACAGATCCAACTAGGAAAAGTAATTAGAAAACAAGTCTTTGCTTTACCTGAATAAATGCACACAAATGTCCCTCGGTCAATGTCATCCAGGCAGCGTACTCCCCAGCCCTTCTTCTCACTTTTGAACACCTGTAGCCTCACCTGGGGACCATGTTGGACAACTCGGTTTTGACACAACTGACGGTTACACTTGCACAAAAGGTTGCACTCATAAATGCTGTAAATAATACACAAAAGACAACATAAATTGCTATTTCATTTAACTAGTAGTTAAATTGAGATAAGTGCAAAAGCTTAGGGCTAGATTGCCTGGGTTACTAGCTATAGTTTCTGTTTTAAAATAGTTTATTTTTATTCATTTATTTACTTTTATATACATGAGTTTTTGCCTGTGTACATAACTGCACCATCTGCATGCCTAGTGCCTTCAGAAACCAAATGAGGGCACTGGATCCCTGAGACCAGAAGCACAGCCCAATGTGAACCCTCAGGTGGGTGCTGGAATTTGAACCTGAGTCTTGATCACTGAGCCATCTTTCCAATCTGAAATGAGAAGTTTATATAACAGAGCTTAACCCACAGGGCTGCTTCATCAACATCTACACCATAATATTTACCAGATATGTAACATGTTGCTCAATAAATGTTAGCTTTTTAAATGTGTAAAGGAAATACAAACTCTTTTAATTCTAGTTCTATAAGGTGTTATTACTTAGCATCTATTTTGATAGGCTGAAAATTATCAACTGACAAATTAGTTTCCTACATTCAGTTCTTCTTTTAATAAATATACATTTTAATATTATTAGTGCGCATGTGTGTAGTCATGCTCGTGTGTGTTGCACACAGCCATACACACACACACACACACACACACACACACACACACACACACACATAGAAGCCAGAGAAGGATGTCAGGTGTCTTGCTCTGCTTTAGTCCCTTGAGACAGGACCTCTTCACTCTTTTCATTGAACCTAAAGCCAAGCCAGGGCCAGCAAACCCCAGAGGTCCTGTTATCTTCAGCTTCTAATAGCTCTGGGATTACAGGCACACACAGCCTCTTAGATAAGTTCCGAGTATTTAAACTCAGGTCCTCATGCTATTTCCCATTGAGTTATCTAGCTCCTTAGTCCTTTCATATGCTTTTGAAATAGCTTCCCTATGTAGTTCTGGCTGGTTTTGAACTCAGTATCATCCAGCACATGTGGGAGGCAGATGTTTTAATGGGAAAATGGCTACTCAGAGTCACTCATTTCCTGTAATTCTAGGCTTGAAGCAGATGAGTGTTTGAGTATATACTGATGTATGTGTGGTCTCTGACTTCCATTTCTAAGAATATGCTTGCATGTTATTACCTCTTAGTAATTTAGATTTTCAGTATTAGGAACAAATATAAACAAAACCTGTAAGAATGTAGACCATATTAAAAGGAAGTACTCTCTGGGCCTGGGGAGATGGATCAGTGGTTAAAATGCTTGCCATGAAAGCATAAAGAGTGGAGTTCAGACCCTTAGAACTCATATAAAAGCTGGGCATGGTGGAACATATATGTAACCCCAGATTGGGGGAGGGCAGCTGACCAGCCAGTCTAGCCAAACTAGGAAGCTCCAGTCTCAGTGAGAGAACTTATCTGAAAAAATAAATAAGATGGATGGTGACTGAGGAAAACATCCAGTTTTAACCTCTGGCTCCCATGTTTGTGTGCATGCACAGGCACAGGTACCACCCCAGCATGCACACAACATACAAAAGTGCTATCCTTCACAGACACACACACCCTGTAACAAATCACTAAGGTCCCTCACCCAGTAGGTATGAGTCTCTGCAGTCTTTTGTATTTATATCCAGTACACACTCCATCAGGTAACAAGGGACATGCTTTAGCATTTTTTGCTGTCAACTGAAGACATGGACATTTTTTTCTAAAAGAAAGGAAGTAGATAGATAAGTCAAAATAAAAAAGATCAAATTATGAGATTTGGTAAAAGTGTAAATGACATTTAAAAACACAGTACTTTTATTTATAAGACAGGTTTCTGCTCAAGGACTATATGGAAACTCCTCTAAACACAATAGGTGATGTGGAAAACAGTATCAACCAAAAGCTTATTACAACTAATATAAACTGCACTGAACTATATGATCATGCAACAGACATTTAATTATATGGGTTTTAATTTTTCAAAATGGGTGTTTTACTCTTCAGATGCTTCTTTGTTGATAGCCTTAGTTCTGCTCTTCTATTATAGATTATTTTAATAGTTATTCCCTCATTAGTAGAGAGGTATAGTCAAGGATCCCAAAATGCTTAAAACCTTGTATTAGTACCAAAGTCTATCTATTTGTGCTTTTGCCAATACTCTGAAAAACTGCCACATAATACCAGAATTAATCTGTCCTTGCATGCTTTATTTTCCTGCATATTATTACTTGTGTCCTTTGGGACCATTATTAAGTAAAATAAGTCTTACCTGAATGTATTGCAAGTATGACACTTGATCTGATAATCAATGTGACTGTTTCATGACTAAGTGGAAGGTCATGAACAGTGTGGACAAAGATGATTCACAATCCAAGCGGGATTGAGTGGGGCATAAAATGTATGAATTAAGTATATATGGAACTCTCCACCTAATGTTTATCATTATTATTATTTATATATGGGTGTTTTGTCAGAATGCAATACTATGCACCACTTGTGTGCATGACACTTGTTGCCTGGGGACAGTAGTGGATCTCTTGGTGCTAGATTTGAATTGCCATAGGGGGAGGGGCAGGTACTGAATCTGGGTCCTCTGGAAGAGCATCTAGTCCTCTCTTATCCTCTGAAATACCTCTCCAGCACAATACTTTTAAACTACAGTTGACCATAGGTACTGAAGCTACTTTAAAGGAAAGAACTGCTGTAGCGTAGATAGTTTTCACCATCTTCTCAATATGAAATAAAAAATGACAGGCAGATCCATGGTTTACCAGCCAGTTAGTCACTCAATAGCCATACTAATTATCAGATCAAGCTACCTGCAATGTTTCAGAGCATGTAGAAGAAACACAAATAAATAAACTTTGTTTCTAATACAAGATTTTAAGCATTCAGGAGTCCTTGAATAAACCTCTCTGATGATGAGAGAATAACTGAAATAAAATAATTTCCCTTTTACTTTTACTTAGTATAAGTAGCTAAATTTGCATAGAGTTATCATATATATAACACAAATCTATTCTATTACCAGAAAACTTACAGATGCATATGTATTACACACACCTTTAAAATAAAATGTTTCTCCATGTTTTCATTTTCTTGATGGAATGTCAATACAATATTAAAGAATGACAGTTGTAAGCACACTGAAATTCCAAAAAACTAGCTGGTAATGATACTTAATTTGTAAAAGCAAAATATAACAAGTGACATAGAAATTAGGAAAAAAGGTTCTAATACTGCCTCTCCAATCTGTCTGCTATGACCTCTTTGAATTTGTTTCTGAGACTAATTTCCTTATTAGCATGACAGAAATGTATTACCTACCACACAGATTTTTGTGATGATAAAGAGAATGAGTGTATTTAAAGTGTTTGGACATGTGTAGTACTCACAAACAGCTCTATAATTGCTATTATAACTGTGCTACTACATAAAAGGGAATACTCATCCTTAGAAGAAATAAATTTCAAATTACCATTTTTGGCAAAGAGCTACAGTTAATGAAATTCTGTCTTTTCATTTATTTCAGACAATTTGTGCACAGGGTTTAGACAGCCAGGATGACAACCTGGTATACACTTGGATTAAACAAATGTGTCTACATCGAGGGACTGAAATACCATGTTTTTCACTTACATGTCTACGCATCCCTCAGAACAGTCACATGAATCAGAAAACATGCTGGAAAAGTTTAGGTAGTATGCTCGGGGCCATACTGTCTTCCTGTACTTAAACTGTGGAAGTTTCCTACTGTCAATTTCATTACAGAAAGAAATTGGCACTGATTCCACTCCATGACTAATATCCACATCAGAAACAACTGCATCTTGCTTTGGGTAATTCCGAGTCAACTGGACATAAGTATTGAAAGAAAAGTTGTCTGTGAATAAAAAGTTACACTCTGTCTCAATAAGGTAATGAAAAACTTCCTCCATGTTTCGCAGACTCCGACCACAGGGGGTTTTATAATTCACATGAAGAGCAGAAGAATGAGAGTTTGTCTTTGCATGTCGTCTTTGGAAGTGACACCTGATGGGTAGCTGTAGAGGGTTTTCTCCCTTCAAGGACAGTGGTGTTTCCATCAGACAAGCACTGGAGCAGACGTGCCTATGGAAAGACACACTTGAAGGGGATCCCTCCTCTCCCAGGTCTGTAGCTTTACTGTTCTCAGGGAGAGATGCTTTGTTTCCTGTAGACCTAATAGAATAAATTAATATTAGTATGTCAAATTTATAATCGAGCTTCATTTTTTTTAAAACACTGTGCACTAATGTGGCAATTACTATATCTTCTTGGACAGCAGTAAGATAACTCAGACTCTGAAACATTTTATAGATTCTCAAGGCATTCAAAAATCAGAGGTAACTTAAACCATTCCAGGAAGTTTAAGCTAGCTGTGACTTTCTACTAGGCTCTGACACATACACTTAGCATAGGCTAAAACCAACATTTCTTCATGTGGGATTTGCCTAGAAAACTAAGGTAGCTGAAAAATTAGTTAAGAATCCTTTACAAAACCTCCATCTAACAACTGTTTAACTGATTTTTCTCCACAATATATAATCCAGCTGTCAATCATATTGATACTCTGAGAACAATAGCAAACTGACAAAAGAAAATGGGATGATATTTAATTTAAGGGGAAGAAATCTGAAAATAAAAGTTCTTGTACTTTAAACCTTTTTTATTCTTTTCCCGATAGGGTTTTTCTGTGTAGCTTTTTGAACCCTGCCCTGGAATTCACTTTGTAGACCAGGCTGGCCTCTGCTTCCCAAGTGCTGGGATTAAAGGCATGCACCACCACCTGTCTTGAACCCAATTTTTAAACTTCTTCAAAGTTTAAATTTTATTTTACTACATGTCTACTATATATTAAAACAGATATATTGCTTTTGTCTAAAAAAAAACCCCAAACACCTGTGTTTTAATATGTAATAGACATTGAAACACATGGAATGCTCTGAGATTACAAATCATCACTCGATTATCAGTGGTTAAGTGAAGCAACTTCACAGTGTACAGCTCTCTCTACCATTCCCGTTAGTCACATTATACTACTGTAAACCAATTTCTGTTACTATTGACAATTTTATGTTGGAACTTTCTCCAATTTGTCTCTGTGTCAGTGCTTTGATGAACATCTTCAGACATAAATCTTTGACCAAGTTCCTGATTATTCTTACATCCCTTTAAGAGGAATTACTGCTACACATTAAAATAACAACAACAAATCCTTGGTAAATAAAAATAGTCACATACAAGAATATATTTTCTTATAAAGACCCAGATATCCCTTTGAGAACTACAAAAATCTCACCAAATAAGGAAATTATCCAAACTTCTGCAATAGAAGATAACTACACTGTCAAAGTTCCTAGTAAGCATAAGGCCACATGCCTATGATGATTCATGCCTTCCTTTGAAAAACATGAAGGATTGGGTTTGCAGTTAAGTGATACAATGCATCTTAGCATGCATGCATACGGTTTTGGGTTGGAAATACAGAATGGTAAAAACAACAGCAAAAACTAACAAAACCCAAATTCTTCCTGAGAAAGTTCCACACTACCAGGGAGAATATAAAGTTGTTCCAGGATCTAATGATGGGCAGATGCACTGCCAGTCCTCCCTACACTTTCTCTGAGGACTACTGAGAGGGGCCAACATTCATGATCCCTTCCAGTTTCCTACTATGTCTTCCATACAAAATTTTCTCAAGGATGTGAAAACAATGCTTTTGGGGAACAAAAGTAATTTGGGGGCATCAGTATTCCAGTTTCTGTAGGAGAATGGAATTCTAACTTCAATAACAATGGCATTTTGTTTTGATCCTAGGGCTAGCAGACCTTGTACATGGTGGCAGGGGTCTACCAATTAGCTACATCCCAATTTGATAATGTTAAATGCCAACAATAGACACAGCTGTTCTAATCATTCACACTGACCAAACATTTTTGAGTTCTTATGTGAGCCCAAGATTGCTCTGTAATTCATAGCCCTTCAAGATGCCCAGTTACTCCTACACAAAAAAGATTGGAGTTTAGTTCTTTCTTTACTGTCAGTAGTATTAACTGAAACCTCACTAATATGGCCGTCTCAACCTTTAAGTTTGACCAGGCTTTACTAATTATTGACATTTTTAATTTATTCTATTCTTTTCTTTCTCTTGTCCATTCACTTTCTTCTGCAGTATTTTAAAGCAAGCTTCTCTCATCACATCTTTTTACCCAAAGCAATTCAGTAGGTGTTTCTAACAAAGTTCAGTTTTTTTTTCAATGACTCACATCATCTATTTGTCCAAACCCAAACTTAATGCTATACTTAATTCTAGTATTTTTTTTTCTTTCCCTTTAACCTAGTATCAATGCAACCTCCCCTTTGTTTTATGATATCTGTTAAAATTGAATTTTGTCACTTGTTCTGTCATTTATCACACTTTGGAAATTAGCTCATGCCACCTAGTGGTGATGCTATTTAATTCAATTCTCTACTTAAGTACAATGTAAGTTAATTGGTAATCCTAGAAACTAAGATTCAAGTTCAAAATTTTGTGGGGGAGGGGGACAAGAAGAAATGAATCACAGGTAGTGGTGTGAGTTTCCAAGAGATATACAATGTCTTGAAAACTCACTCTTTGAGATGATAAAAACTGATAAGCAGAGTTTGGGTATTTCCAGCCAAACAGTCATGAATACTTCACTTAGGCCTTGTGATCATTTGAAGTGTGGAAAAACTTTCACAGCAATTTAATATTGATACATTTTGTAAGACCATTGCTTCTCCACAAACTAGAGGTTTAAAACCAAATAATGTCCTCACCTCAACTAGATGGGAGGTGCCTTACTCCTCGTTTGGGCTATGAAGGACGCAGACTTACAACCAAACCAACATGTCATCATTGACTTCTCTGGGCTGCAATATTTAAAAACTTGGCCTTTTTTACATTTGTTTATTGTGTGTGCACATGGAGGTCGGAGACTACTTTTGGGAGTCTGTCCTCTTTCCATTAAGTGGGTACCAGGGATCAAATTCGGGTTGTCAAGTTTGAGGCTTGTAACCTTACCTGCTGAGTCATATCACTGACTGAAATTATTACACAAAGAAACTTCCTTTATTCTCAAGTTATCCTGGTACATAACTAGAACAGGAGAAGTGTAGTGTTTGATGCTCCCTCTCTTGTCTATTTACTAATATCCAGAACAATAAGTTATATCTCAGCAAGTATCAAGGTGCCAGAGATGAAAATAGCATCTTGTTTTAAAAATATCTTTCTCTAATAAATACGTTTATCACTCTCTCTTTGGTGAAATGATCATTTACAAACTTTTCATTAATCATCAAAGAATTCCTCAGTGTCTGATGCAATACAAACTACAATGAGAGTTCTTGGAGAATTAGTAGAGAATTAATTTTTACAATAAATTATAAATTTTTAAAGTAAATGTGTTAGTTGGGTTTTTGTCAACTTGACACAAACTTAGACATATTTGTGATGAGGAAGTATTGAGAAAAATGTTTCCATAAGATTGGCCTGTAGGCGGGGTGGTGATGTCACATGCTTTTAATCCCAGCACTTGGGAGGCAGAGATAGGTGAATCTTGAGTTTGAGGCCAGCCTGGTCTACAGAGGGAGTTCCAAGACAGCCAGGGCTACACAGATAAACCCTGTCTGGAAAAACAAAAAAACATAAAAAGACTGGACTGTAGGCAAATATATAGGGCATTTTCTTAATTAATGATTGATGTGGGAGGGCCCAAACCACTTTGGGTACTGCCATCTCAGGGCAGATGGTCTAGGGATGTACAAGAAAGCAAATGAAGTAAGCCATGAGTAGTAAGCCAGAAAGCAACTTCCACCATGGCCTCTGCTTCAAGTTCCTGCCTGATTTTCCTCAGTGATGGGCTGTGATCTAAAACTTCCAAGCTAAATAAACCAATTCCTTGAGTTGCTTTTTGTCTTGGTATTTTACTATAACAACAGATATCCTAAATAAGACAGTCATAATATATGCCATGGGAACACAAAGATATCTAATCCTTATTATTTTAGGACTTTGGGTTCTTTTCATTTGTTTTCTGTTTTTAGAGACAGGGTCTCACATAGCCCACACAGGTCTTGAAGTTGCTATGGAGCTGAGGATGACCTTGATCATACCTCTACTACTACCAAAGTACTATGATTACACTTAAAATTTAGGTTCTATTCTTATAGTTTATTATGGACTGAACATCCAACTTCATCTTGACTCTATTTTTCTTTGTGGTGGTGTCTTCTTGAGACGTTCTGTAGCCCAGGCTTACCTGGATTCTTGGGCTCCTACTGCTTTAGTCTCTCAAGTACTTGGCTAAGAGGCATGCACTTTGGAATTTATTTTGTATCAAGAAGACCCAACTTGAATCATACAAATAAAATACAATTGTTCTAGCATATTTCTTGCAGCAAATCCTCTATGTCTCCTTTTAAATGTGTTCTGAATATTTATTGATGTATCTTTTGAGGTTAAATTTCTAACAAACAACTTGCCAAATAAAAGCTCCAATGCCAGACAGTGGTGGTGCATGCCTCTAATCCCAGCATTTGGGAGGCAGAGGCAGGTGGATCTCCAAGTTTGAGGCCAGCCTTGTCTACAGAGTGAGTTCCAGAACAGCCATGGCTATTCAGAGAAACCCCGTGTGTGTGTGTGTGTGTGTGTGTGTGTGTGTGTGTGTGTGTGTGTGTGTGTGTGTGTGTGTGTGTGTGTGTGTAGTGGGGTTGGGGACTCCAAGTATAGAGTGGTGGTAGGGTGTTACTTGGTAATAGAGTATGTTCTTTAAAAGACCCTATGTTCAATGCCCACCTCTACCTCCCACTACCCCAAAACTCCAAGTACCAGAATCCCATACAAATCAAGTTAAATCTACAATTGTATTTGAGAAGACATTTTTATAATAGTCTTTACATCAAGAAACACAGAAATCCGTTACAATCTCTAGATTTAGCTAGGCATGGCAGTATGTAACTTTAGTTCCAGCTCTTTGGGAGGCTGGCATAGGAATATGAGACCAACCAGAAACAGTGAGAGACAGCCTCAAGAAACAAAATAAAATGTCAGTTTGAATTTTCTTGAATATCTTTGCCTTGTAATTACTTTCATATTCTAAGCATTATCAATAAGAATTTTATTTCATATTTTTCTAATAGTGTGGCTTACATTTTCT